TTTTTTTCTTTTCTTTTAATGGGTGAGTATTTAAGAAGGCTGACTGTTTAAATACTTGGATTATTAGTACTAAGTTATTACTCATTAGTTTTTAGTATTAAGTTATTAATTATTAATGTAAAATTATTAACTATTAACATTAAGTATATTTTTTTTTTAATTCCATATTGGTTTGGTTCGATAAAATTTAAGACTGTTTAAATATAAGTAATAATATATTTTTTTTTATAAAATATTTAAAAACTAAAACATTTTTGTTGTTGTTATTATTACTTGATTTTGAATATAATTTTCTTAACAAATTTGTGTAGTGTACTAAAAGTAAATAAAAGCGTAATTGTTTTTCGCGAGTCCCCGGCGGGCAGCGGGTAACGACACTCCGGCATGGCTGACGGCGGCGGTACGCGCAAGTACTCGTGCAGGACAGCGTCGGAGACCCTAGAGTGGATCCATGCCATAATAAGCTTCCTCGAGCCTTACCGGTTTTTCTTAGATGCCCATGTCGTCAATTTCTTCAAGGCAATTGAATTGACCTCACATATGCAGTGAAAGAATATTAACAACTCATGTTGCTCAGAAATTTGAGGCGAATGAGCTAAATATTTGACGATCTGTGACAGGATAGACTGTGGGAAGCAGTTGATAAAGAGTGGATGGATTGCCTGCGGGGAGAGCCTGTGGAGAAACTTCTGCAAATTCCTTCTGGTTTGGTGCAGGTACTTTTTTGTTCCTTTTATTTTCTACCTATTAATAAGTTGTTCAATTGATGTATACAATGGTGGAGCACGTTGGGCGCGCGCGCACACTCACAGGTGTTCTGATGTTGTATCCAGTTTTGCCCAAGATAAGAATGTTTCTCATATTGGAATATGTGAAGCAGAATAACCCAGTGCTGTGCCTTTGCTAATTTTGAAGTTGGTACATTTAGGAATAGATGATAACTGATTATCCGTCTTGCTATGAGGAGACGTACCTCTAATATCGTCGACATTCTAAAACTTCTTAATAAGATTTTAGTTATGATTGTTCTTTGGTTCATGGTAGTACGTGTTCAATCTTTCGACAAGATGATTTTCTTTTAACTCGTCTCTTATTCAGTTTACCTAATCGGCAAACTCAATGAAATAGTATTTTCCAGCATCCAATTTGATTGGTTGGTTTGTTCATTCTTTAGATTAATGGTTTATGAATTTTCAGTCTAAGTCCCCACCATTTAGTTTGAATAAATGGTTTCTCAAAATTTGTCCATTTCAGTATTTTCTTCTGTCAGTTCTGTGAACTATTTTGTTTTACCGTTCTATCTTTACGTTCCATTTTGATTACTATGTATTGCCGCCTTATTTTGGTTAGGTCAGGAGTTATGTTATGAGACCATTAGATGAAATCTGTTGTGTTGTTTTGAAGGCTGGCAAATACTTTTGATGACATCCTCTTCGCATTTTAATTAGATCAACATCAACAATCAGTTTATCCAATCTTTGATATATGAATTTTGGTTCACATTGTAATATTGTTTCACATAAGTTCAGAAAATCATTACTGAGTTGCAAGCAGCCACTTGTAGGACCTTTTCCTATATACCGGAGATTAAAAGTATGATTAGCTAAATTTTCCTATTGGTTTGTGTGAAAATTGATACTGAAAATGTTTCTAGTGTGTTAGTCTTTAATTTTGATTTAATATAGGTTTAGAATTGGAATTACAATTGGATTTTTGGTTTTAGAGTGAACTTTCACATTGATAATTGTAATGGAAGTGACAGTTTCCAATTTGTGTTGCTCCTACACTTTTTTGAACTATGAGAAAGGTCAATTTAGGTCCA